AAATTTGTACGTAATAATAAACAAAATGAAATAAATAAATTATTATTGTTAAAAGTAGAGTCTAGCATTAGCGTTGGAAAATAATTTTAGATGTACTAATATTCAAATTAAGAAGTTGGTAACAATCAACGGAAAAAGGAAATAGTGTTAAAATGAAAAGAAGAAAAAACTATTGATTTGGTTAGTTGTTTTTTGAAGTAATGTGCTGAAAAATGAAAATGGAGACAGAATAAAAATATAAGATAAGTATAACTAATAATTAAAGTCAATAGAATTTCATAGGGAAATTTTAAAGTAAAAGGGGGGGGGGGTAATTTAAGGGAAACGTAGATTTTTAAAAAAGAACTGAGAACGTGGGTGTGGATTGGGAAAAAACTTGTGAGTTTAGTGATAATGCATTGGTACTTTTTCTTAATCTAAATATTTCTAGGTTCTCCAAATTATTCAATATCAACTTGTTGTGGCAAATGTGGAGTACCCTAAAGCCATCCCCTGAGTCAAAATCGTGATTGGACTCTACTAGAGTCCAATCACTTTAATTATTAGTTATACTTATCTTATATTTTTAATCTGTCTCCATTTCCATTTTCATTTTTCAGCACATTACTTCAAAAAACAACTAACCAAATCAATAGTTTTTTCTTCTTTTCATTTTAACACCATTTCCTTTTTCCGTTGATTGTTACCAACTTCTTAATTTGAATATTAGTACATCTAAAATTATTTTCCAACGCTAATGCTAGACTCTACTTTTAACAATAATAATTTATTTATTTCATTTTGTTTATTATTACGTACAAATTCAAACAATTCATTTTATAAACCTATATTATTATTAAGAAACATTTATTTTTTTCGCCAACGCCATCTATTGGCCGATGGTCAAAATATTTAAATTTGACAACCTCTAAACTGTTATCTTAAATATTAGAATGGTTAATTCGTCTATTTATACCTAGAGGGCGTTAATCAGTATATTTAATCTAAATAAAATTTAATTCCTGTAGAATTATAAACACTTGTCCAAGAACCCATTTTAGTGCTTGTAGGGTTTAAAAAGTTTTTTAATTTGTTTGTCTTAATTGTTCGTCCGTTCGTGAAATATTTTAATAATTTTAATTAATAGTTTTAGACCTACTTTTGTTTATGTGTTTTGACATCAACTTTTTGTTGCAACTATTGTTTTTTATGTATTTTAAAAAATATTCGCATACTTGTTTTTACACCGACCCTGGGATAATTCTCTTAGCTTAGTCTTAAATAGATGAGTAATTACGGGTGAGTTCTTGATATTTGACAACTTTCATATTAAAATGTTTAAACCCACTTTATTAGTTATGAGCTCATTCGTTTTTCCTCTCTATTTTAGACCTTACCTGATGATGAGGATCTGATCCTCGAAACCGGTCGTAATAAAATACTCTTGTGAGATCCTAAGGACCACCCTCGTTTGATTTACCCTTTTTTGAAGACTGTTTCTTATAATGTTTGGAAAATTTGTATAGTTTCTTAGGTAGTAAGTTTTAATTTTGTCTATTTTGTTAAAATCTATTTCGTATATTTTATTTATTTCTGTCTTGTAAAGGGAGTTTTCATATTCCTGTAGATTTTCATAGCATTTAGCTAAGCATGGAGTTTTCTTCTTTATCCAATATTTGTTACATAAATCTGCTATGAATAAGTGTATCTTTGAAATAAGAGTGGATCTTTTTGCATCAATTGTTATTAAAAATCGGCTGGTTAAAATGTTTCTTCTAATGTTCATTGGATATTCACAGCATTCTACCTGTAGATTGTTAATGGGAGTACTTCTTAAGGCTCCAATCGATAGCCTAAGACATTTGTTAGCTACTACATCTATTTTATTAAGATGACACTGAGCAGCATCTGCATATAGAATGGAACCATAATCTATAATTGCTCTGATATATGATCTATACAGTAATAGTGATATGTTTGGGTCCGCTCCCCATTGTGAATGAGAATCAAACCTCAATAGGTTTACTCCCTTTTCCGCCTTTTTTACAATGTTTTCTATGTGTTCTTTCCAAAGTAATTTTTTGTCCAAAGTAATCCCCAGGTATTTAATAGAATTTCGAACAGGGAATTGCACTTCATTAAGGGTAATATGTAGTGGAACATGTTTGCGTTTTCTTGTAAAAAAGCAAACCTGCGACTTGGTATTCGAAACTGTTAGTCCATGATTAGATGTCCATTCCAGAATTTGTTTGTAACTTCGCTCAACTTCATTTACGCCTTCCATTATTTTACAATTGTGTCGATAGATGCAAATATCATCTGCAAATTGGATGATCTTGACATTGTTTTGTTCTTTGTCCAAATCATAAGTATATATTAAATATAATAACGGGCTGAGAATTCCACCTTGAGGTAATCCATCCATAGCGACTCGTGGGCCTATTTGGTTATTATTAATTGCTAAGTAAAAATTTCTACCGCTATACAATTTGGTAATCTTCTGTGCAAAACATTCAGGCAGACCTAATTGAAGCATCTTTGATTGTAGTATTCTTAAGTTAACATTATCATAAGCTGACTCTATGTCGATAAATAGGGCTACCACAGACTTATTATTTGTAAATGATAGGTTAATGTCGGTTACCAAATGACTAACACTTTCTATTGTTGAACAGTTTTTTCTAAACCCTAATTGAGTGGGTGTGATTTTTTGATTAATTTCTAACCATCTTTCTAATCTTACTTTCACCATTCTTTCTAACGTTTTGCATATACATGAGCTCAAAGATATGCCTCTATATGATTCTGGTGAGTTAGGATTGCGATTTGGTTTTAAAAATGGTATAACTAAATACTCTTTCCAACCCGAAGGTATATCCTCAGTTAACCATATCTGATTTAAATTATTTAATAACGTCTCTTTCCCGGATTTTTCCAAATTAGCCAACCTAATATAATGTACGCTGTCCCGTCCTGGAGATGTATTTTTGTTATTTTTCAAACAAGCTTCTAACTCCAACATATTAAATTGTCTTGATAGTGTGTCATCTGAATTTTTACTTTCTGCTATTGTAATTTGTGGAAAGGTACTCGGTGGTGCTAATTTTATTAAAAACGAATCTACCCATTCGCCTTCCATAATCGGGGAGATAGGCAGTTTAAAAATATTTTTAAATCGTTTAACATGATTCGAAATGTCTGCTATGGGGGTATTTTTGTTTAGGGATTTACAAAATTCTCTCCATTTTTTTCCTTTGTTATGGAGAATTATTTTTTTTGTTAAAGCGACACATTTATTGTTATTTATATAATTCTGAACATTTGATTGTTGCTTAAACTTTTTTAAAGCGTCTTTTTGGTCTTGTATTGCCTGTTTACATTCATCATTCCACCAGGGTTTATTAAATTTAAGATTTGTCCCTTTTCTCTTCTCTGGAATGCTCATTTTGCAATAATAATTAAATTCCTCTAAAAAATCTTCATATCTCATATTGTTATCATGTTTTGAAAAATTATTCGTTACAGATGAGAATAGAGACCAATCTGCTAAATTTATATTCCATCTTTTCCTATTCACATTTAGGTTACTATTAACACTACTACTATTTACATTATTTCTATTTTGATTATGATTTATACTATTATTTGTTTTCATTACAATCGCAAAATGATTTGATCCTAAGATATCTGTAACAACGTCCCAATCAAAATAAGGACTAATATCGTTCGAGCATATAGTAAGGTCTATTGCTGATTTGTTATTGCTTCCCGGTCTACTCAATAATGTCTCTTTACCGTTATTTAAAATTATTAAGTTGCAATCTTCAATAGCTGTCAATAAATGTCTTCCACCTGTATCCACAGTACTACAACCCCAAACAGAATTGTGACAATTAAAGTCTCCACCAACAAGAAAGGGCGTTTTTAGGGAATTAAAAAAATGTTTCCATTCATTTGTGGTTATTTTTAAGCCTGGTTTATTATAAATAGAATATATATTTACCTTTTTTCCTAATTTCAATTTTATTGTTAAACTTATGCACATTAAATCTTTGATTTTATAAAATGAGGGACTGTTATCAAATGGTATAGATTTTTTTATTAATATGGCTACACCTAAATGTGATTTACCTTTTAGAATATCGTATATATAGAGCAAAGTTTACTAATTTTTATAAAAAAGATTTATATTCTACAAAATCTTTCTTAAATTATTTAACATTCACAAATGTTTTAATTTAAATGTAGTAACATGCACGTGTAAGGTACAAAATACCTTAATCCGTCTATAATTATCGATTTTAAACAAGAGGGAGACCGGACATCGTGGAAGAAAGCCAGCGAAATTAGTATAGAAATTGTAACTCGATTAAAAAGCATTGGTTCTTTTACCATTTTCTAAAAAAACTAATAGACCTTTTTAAAATCGGTTTTCGGTGATTTTCCTTCTGATTTATTACCTTGGAAAGTAGATGATTTATATAAAAAACAAAAAAAGCTGACGTATTATTTTTATGAAACGAAAATTTGCTGTTATTTTCACAGTTTTCAACCGCCCTCTGTTTCCATAAAAAAAATTATTACGATGTTGTCAAGCCAGCACTTCTCTAGATATCAACACGTTCTTTATTGTACGTTTTAAATTTTTTTTAAATATTCTTTAATTTTTTCATAATTTGGGAAAAAGAATAGCATTGAAACTCCTATACCCGAAAAATTGTACGTATGCTCTTAATGAAAGTTCTTAGATAATATTTAAATTAAAACTTTAAATAAGTTTTCAATTGTATGTTAACAATAAGCTATTAATATATATTTAACAAACTTGCATTTATATTTGTAAGCTTGCAATAAATTTGCAGCAAATGTATTTTGCTTAGTGGCTTTCATATGAGGTGCCACAATATTATACAAAGTAACCGTTTATTTAACATATGACTGCAGTCCAACAATAGCTTTATATTAATTTTATGTTTGTCAAAATGTTCCTTATAGTCAAAGAAAAAAAATTGCTTACTTACCGTAAATTTCAGCATGTTTGCACCGTATCTAATTCAATTTTCAAATAACAATAATTATATATTGTTTTTATACTAATGGTGTCTTTTGTTTCTACTTAACATAAGTGGAGATAACCTTTGTATTTTTCTTGTTGTGAAAATATGAAAATTATTGACCTTCTGCTATTCCTCGAAGAGGTTAGTAAACATTGCAACGATTACTTTATACTGTTGTTGCGTTTTATAGTTAATTAATAGAATAATTTTGAAAGTCACGAATTTTAATTTTGGAAATAAATATTTTAAGACACACGCTGAACCGCTGCTCTGAAAAGTGTTATCAATTCTTAAAAGTCGTAGGTGTTATATAAGTCTAGTTATTATTATTTTGTTCTCTTCAGTTCTCATTCCTTGGGGGGGGGGGGGCGTATTACGTTTGTAAATTTTTAATGATTTTAGGCTACCACTGCTCTCCTTTATAAGCCAAATGAAGAAAATAGAGGCCCCCCTTCCCAAATGTTAAGACGTAAGAATGTTTCAAAACTTTAATTATCAAAGAGGTTAAAAAGGGTAGAGGTAATAACATACAAAGCATTTACAACTGCGTGAAAATTATCAAAACCGAAAAATTCGCCGGAAGGAGTAAAATAGTGTATTGCCTAATTTTGGTATCCGAGTATTAAAAGATTTAAATATGAGAAATATATTAATTCAGTTTATAGGACGATTCATTTATGATGAAGGCAGTAACACTTTATCAGTAGCTAGTGGCTAAGAAGTTTTTTAAAATGATGTAACACAAATATCTTATACACTTTGGAAGTGTTGCATTATAATACCATTGAAAGTAAAGTTACTAATATACCCTATTTTTATTATCAACCATTTGACAAATTATTAAAGAATTACGTTAAAATAAAATTATACAGGGTGTCCCAAAATTCCGTGTACATAGATCTATTGTATGTTGGTGAGATCAAAATAAGTCGATTTAGCCAAAATTACCTATATCATAAAGTCCATCGTTTGCCTGTGAGGAAGCTTCAAAGTTGGAAGAAAATTTTCAATTTTTTTAATAACACAAGAACGCTGCTTTCGATTTTTATAAAATTTGGTGTGTAGCTATTTTAATTGAAGAGCCATTGTTTAAAGTAAAAATTACACCAACTGAAGTTATGGAAGGGTAAAAACCACCCTAATCCTACCATAAATGACATCGTATTTTTTTTTTGAAAATTTTCTTCCATCTTTGAAGCTTCCTCACAGGCAAACGATGGACTTTGTGATATAGGTAATTTTGGCTCAATAGACTTATTTTGATCTCACCAACATACAGTAGATCTATGTACACGGAATTTTGGGACATGTGTTAAGCTGAGTACAGACCGTCCCAACGAAGGCATTCGCCCTTGGTTCCCAAACATTCGCTGACCGTCGTTAATAGGTACATATTAGGTTAATACGTACATATCGTCATCCTTATCCCGAAGTGGTCTAAACAACAAAAATTAAAAAAAAAATGTTTTTTTGTGCGGATTAACTAGTCTCGACCTACTTTATCATCTCACGAAGTGGCATATCTACAACCTTAATAGTGCATGCAATACAGCATAATACTTCTGTATCCTATCTGCCATAACGCAGAATATTTTCCTCACGAACTGTTCTAAGTAACTTTAGGTATCTTAGTGAAATAATATGAGATCCACATGTTAGAAAAAAGAAAAGGAAAATAAAAAACTCGCCTTAGTTGGCCTTCTAACAAAAATAGGAAAACAAATGTGTTGGTTTTACTAATATGGTTTTTATTAGTTTGAACATCAACATAAATGGTGCTAGCTCAAAATTAGTTCATCAATAATCGGTAGAGTGGGGTGAGTATGATAAATAAATATATATACAACAATTTTAAATATACCAGGTCTTCAACAATACCCGAAACCCACGTGATCTGGTAGCATCAAAAACACAGCGAAAGGGCCTGATTTGGTTCCTTATATGTCAACTGTCATTGTCAATACTGTCTAAAATATAATTAGCGTTCATTTGGGTTTTTAGGTATATTTATATTATTTAAAGGTTATTGATTTTACATTTTGTCAACACGCTTTTATTCAATTTATCCTCAAATAATAATAAACCAATCAGTTCTTTTTAGAGCTCATTAGTGCTTTCATTCTTTTTTGCTGGTAAGTGTAAATTTATTTACTTTTATACAAGTTTATTGACAATATAATTTTCAGCTCAAAATGTTTACACCGGAACAAGATTCTTTTATTTTAATGGCACATTATAGAAGTGAATCTCGAAATGATGATGGAACTTGGTCATATTCAATTCAGAGTTGCATTCAACAATTTGAGGAACGTTTTCCAGCTGTACAAATAGAATATGATGGTTTTCGTCATCATAGACATATTCTTGTTCAACGTATTGAAACAAAAAATTGCATTTGTAAAGGAAAGGGGTCCGAAAAAGTTGTTCAAGATGTGCGAATTCGCATGGAGCAAAGTCCCACTAAATCAGTAAAAAAGTTAGTAGCTCAAGCAGGTAAGAACAGTGTTTGGGAGCTTGACTCTCTTATAATCTAATTTCATCGTTTTAGATTTATCTGTAGGAACTAGCCATAAGATTTTGAAAAAAAATCTATCAATGCATCCTTATAAGGTTTCAGTACTGCAACAATTGTTTCCTGGTGTTTTTGTAAAACGTATAGAATACTGTCGATGGTTCAATGAGCAATTAAATGACAATAACTTATTGGATCGAACTTTTTTTACTGATGAAGCATGGTTTCACTTATCAGGATATGTCAATAGTCAAAATGATCGAACATGGGCAACTGAAAATCCTCATTTATTTGTGGAGACAAGTCTACGTCCCATAAAAGTTGGTATTTGGATAGCAATTTCAAGAAGCAGAATAATAGGGCCCATATTTTTCTATGACACAATTAATGGCCAACGTTATCGAAATATTTTTCTTGAATTTGTTGAACAGCTACAGGATGACGAGTTACAATTGGGTTATTTTCAACAAGATGGAGCAACAGCTCATACAGCTAGAGCTACTATTGAAGAATATTTTGATGACCGAATTATTAGTAAAGGATTATGGCCTCCAAGATCTCCAGACCTCACACCTCCTGTCTACTTTTTATTTGGTCATATAAAAAATAAAGTATTCAGAAATCGTTTGCATGATGTGAATGAATTGGAGCAAGCTATAGTTAATGAAATTGAAAGTGTAACTGAGGAGCAACTGCATAATGTGTTTGAAAACATGAAAAAAAGGGTTAATGCTTGCATAGAAGCTGGTGGTGAACATTTTGAACACTTACTGTGAATGTATATTCTTTGTACAATATCAAATTATCCTTTAAAATAAATTATTGAAGTTGATGTTGTGATCAATTCTGTTCAGAACTGGATTGTTTTTTTTTGTTTATATCAATATGACTTTTTGTTACATTTTTTATATATATTTTAAATGAACAAAAACAAATTTAACATGAAAAATTAGCATATTCTAAATTAATTTTCAATTTTATAGATACTTACTAATTTAAGATAAATAAAAACAAATTAAAAATTTTATTTGTTTATTGTGTCCCATTGCCTATGTACAATTCCATCTCTTAAAGTAAATTTTAAATTGATTTATAATTTCTAAACGTGCGACAAGCTAAATGTATGATCTGTAGGTACTTTTTATACCTATCAAGTTGATGTATTTGTAAGATTTAATAAGTCTACTACATAAACGAAAACATTCAAAGTGATTATCACATGTTTAATCAAAATAAGATTACTATTACTTATTCTAACCAATACTGTTGTAATTTAAACAGTCAGCCGTAGTTATTATAATATACCAGTTGCCATCAAGCTAAAATAAATAATTTCTAATTGTGTTCTTTATGCATAACATTTTTTAATCCTCCGTTCCCACACTTAATTTTTATCAAGAATTAGTCCCTCAAAATTTCAATTATTGAATAATAAAATTCAAAATTCAGCTCTTTTAATAAAATTAGAAGCTGTCCCATTCCGCTACACGCACTGGGATATATGATGCCCCATGCTTATTTATACACAAGAATTGAACTTAAAACTCAAAACAATTTTTTTTATGGTAACTTAGATCCCAATAAACATATGTACCAAAAAAACTGAGAGCTAAAATGCTATTTTATTGATTTAAAAAGGTAAAAGACAATTTGTATCACAGACGAATATATTAAATTTAATCTAAATAAACGTAATCATTTAGTTAAACTATATACAAAATTGGTAAACAAATCCAAGATTTTCGGGTAAACTTCACTTGTATCCGCTTTTTCTTTTTACGACTGGCAACCTCTTAGTCTTTGGAGGTCTTTCTTCAGTTTTCTCTTCGCTACTTTGCTCAATTTCAGATTCAGTTTGAATTTCAACATAATTAAAATCCTTATCAGAATTTTCACCGCAAAATAATTCATGTTTATTCTATCCTTTAAAGATTCAGGAACAAAGTGTTCTAATTGTATCTCGCTCAAAGGGCGAGAGGTGGAAACATTTCTATGTAAAAATAAAATACCATGTCAACACAATACCATATGTAATTTAAAAATACCACTACTTCAAGATCCTATCGCAAAAAAAAACAAATATTAAACTGTTACAGCACACGCTGGGCTGGGACATATTCTTTTGATGGGTATAGACAGACTGAACTTCACTTGCAGAAGTACCTTGACCATATTGAACGTGGTGGAAACTAATTGAATTTATACCAGCGGTATTAGGTATTACTTCCAAACTTGAAGATAAAGAAGTGTACGGACGGAGCATCGAGATAAAGTACGGAGGGTTAAATAAACATTAAAAACAAAAAAAAAACACTCAAGAAACGGTGATCTTAGGTTAGGTATCGAATTATTCTTCTCTTTTAATAAGAGAGGTATTGAATTCAATAGTGATTACATAAAAAAATTTAAAGATAAGATTTTATATTGGCCTTAATGGAATTCTAACATAAAAATATAATAATGTAAAGCACCATTAATTTAATAATATGATTTTTTTTGTTATATCTCACTGTATTTTGTTCTTAAGGTTACAGACCATAAAAAAAAGAAGAAGATATATTTTATTTTTATTTTATTTAAAACACCTACAGCACTGGCCAACATCTAGGGATTTTTACTATTATTTTCACCAATCGCTGTCATGACGTTTTGATCACGTGGGTTTCGGGTATTGTTGAAGACCTGGTATATATAAGACAGTTATTTGAATAATTAGTTGAATGGCTCTAAATCCTAAATTTAATATTTACCTATGCAACACATAAATAAATTAATCAATATTTCTAAA